CTATGTAAATTTTTGCTGTAATTACTGAGTAAATTTATCTATTAAATACTCTTAAAATAACTTTAAAAAGCAATTGCTTAATAATTAAATTATAGTTTATGTTTTAAAGAAAATAATGGTAAAATTTTGGATACTAAACCACCAAGAAATTTTTGGTTAAAAATTTATGGCTCAGCAATTTAAAATTTCTTACAACTAAAGTCCTTGATAAGCTTCTAACAATGGCACAAAACAGCCTCTAAACCGATTCAAACTTTGTTCATCCACTTCAAAATAAGCTCGTAGTGCAGTTGTAAGCCGATAGATGAACGTACTACCAAAGCTGCTGTGAATCATATTTTGTTGCATTTATTTCCAGGCACCATAACTGTAAAACTAAGCATATATTGCGCTGAAATTTGTTGAAATCTACTTCAAAGGAAAAGTATGTACTTTACTATTGTAAGGCAGTTGAGATTTTTTCTAGGGATATATTATGGGCGGGCAACAAAATATGAGCAACATTCATATTGCAAAATAGCAAATCTAGTTAAAATACATGAATCTTCATAAATATTTGTTGAATGAGTATTTGGTCATGTACATGAAGTTTTAAATTGAGTACAAAATCGCTATTTTGTGGTTTGTGAATTATTTGCGTATAAATACTACAATATGTATTAAGTAAAAGTTCAAGTAAGTCAACTTCTACGAAATAAATAAATATATTTTAAGATTTAAATATACAGTACATTTAAAAAATAATTTATATAGGCTTTTATATCTTTTAATATATTTGTTATCGAAAGATGATTATACTTATAGAGTAATGCAATTAAAATAGATGAAATAAAATCGTTTTAGTTAAATTAACAATTAAATTAAGTTAAAGAACTCGTTACTGATTTGCTGAAATACCGCTTATAAATAAAAAAATAAATAAATAAGTGACATCTGTCTTTATTTCGTAAAAATACTGCTTTGAATTCACTTTGTTTTTTATTATTTCTATTTCATGTTATTTAGTATTATTTTAAAACATTTTATTTTATTTCATTTTACTATTTTGCTGTCTTATTTTTATTGGCTTTTTTTTATTTATTTTATTTTATTTTATTTTATATTATATTACTTTATTTCATTTTATTTTATTTTATTTTACTTTCATATTTTATTTTACTTTCATATTTTATTTTCTTCCATAAAATTTTATTTTTCATTATTTCATTTAATTTTTAAAAAAAAAACATAATAAAATATTTAAGACAAATGAATAAAATAAATAAAATAATAAATAAATTGTATATTTTATTAATTAAAATAATTGATAAATATAAAAAAAAATATTTTTCTAATTTTATGTGTTCAATAAACGACCTAACCCCAGTAATAATTCAAAACGTATGGAAAATTGGTCGTTATAACAATTTATTACATATTATGTTATTGTATTCTATTTTTTTTTTTCATTTGATATTATTTCATCTTTTTTTATTTAATTTTATTTTGTTCTATTTTATTTAATTTTTAAATGTGCATAAATTATGCTGATACCTTCACAAAGTTGCAACAAAAGTAATTGTGAAAAATGTGATTGATGAAATATTTTCATAATGTAAATCACAAATCAGTACTGTTTTTAAATAAGAATTATTAAGCAATTATTTATGAACAAATGCTTCTATTTACGCATTAAGACATAATCAACATGAAAGTAACTTCAAGCTGCATGTAGTAACTTTTATTTATGAAATCGGCAATATACACGCGGTATATACACATAAGATACTCTCTTATTTTTTTTTAAATTAAAATTTATAAATGAGTGGAATAAAATAAAGAAATGAATTTTTGTGGTTTCTAATTATTTATATTCTTTGCAATATAATTGTATGTTCTTATTAACTCTTAAAACTGTTTGCACGATTAGGATAGACAGGATTATTAATATACGGTTAGTTCTCAATTATACGAAACGAAGATTTCATGCAAAGAAAGTTTTTGTTATTTCAAAGTCATAGGATACGATGCACCCAAAGTATAGTATTATATAGTAATTCAAAACTCAATTTTGTAAAGAAAATAATTGAAAATGATACATCTAAAACTTACAAGTTAAATTAGATAAGTCAATAAGGTACGCGAAGAGTTTTCTTACTGTAGATGGAGCCAAGACAGTGATAAATGGGCCGAAGTTTAAATCTGAGAATAGCGACCTAAAATACAACAATTTTGCTTAATTTAATCTTTAATAACGGATAACTATCAAAAGCTAAGAATAACCATCCTAACTGATAGCCAAGCGGTAATCAAAGCACTCAAAATCTCTTTAAGTGATATCAAGACTGGTAATGAGATATCTGTATTTGGTGAATATTATTAGTAAAATTAATTGAGAATGGATTGCATTATTTTTATATAATATTGAAGCTTCCACAAACGAAATTGCAAAAAAACTTGCCCGAAAAGAAAAAAAATTTGACTTAACAAAATAATTTCACACAAAAGCGTAAAACTATTGTGTGACTTAAGAAAATAAGATTTAATTTCATTTATTCAGAAGAAAGAAGACGCAGAAGATTTACTTAAACTATTGATATTAAATATACTTCTCGTAACTGAAATTGATTTAAGTAGTGTTTAGAATTAAATGCAAATAACTTAAAAATCAATACAATAATTCTGACATTTGTTTTCGCGGGACTTACTTAAGCACTACAAGCCATTCTTAATACCTATTATATTAGTGCGCTCATCCTTAAATCAAAATCTTTAATCCCCAACCACTCTAAAAAGCTAAGAATAAGAGTCGATGCATCACCTTTTTCAATTGTAAAAGTCTAGACATTTTTAACATGATAAATGTTAAAATTAGTAATATGAATAAACAAAACTGGTAAGCCTTTCAACATGATTATCGTTTTTTTTAATCTGAAAGGCACAAAACCGTATTTTACTGACAAATCTCAAAAAAACTTCAATCGTAAAATTCTCGTGTCTACAAATCAATCACCTTTTTGTGATACACAAACACCTACTCTACGATGGTGCTATATCACGTCTTTATATTCTTGATCATGTCGCATCTTTTCCAATAAAAGCCCAAATCATTTATTATATTGAGGTTAGTTGAGTCAGTGCACTTGAGCACTTTTATTCTCTATTAACTGCGAGGTTTCTTCATAACCCCTCTCTACGCCTTGACTGGAATATCAGACTTAACAATAATTGACCTCAGATCTGCATACCTTCCTGAGGAGCCTGTAACCATTCTGAGATTCGATAGGACGGTGTTTGTAAACCTGTCAGTTTTCGTAAATAATTTCAGGTCTCTATTCTTTATGTATTTTTTGATCGAATCAATCTGAAGGTCCCTGAGGATGTCGTTCATCCTAATGTACCATGATTCCTTAGAGCCTGGCTTTGTGCAATTTCTATCTGGCGAAAAATAGTGTTTGAGGCTTTGCTAAACGCTACACATCCATATAAAAGAGACGGTCGAATTATTTGTATTGAGATTGAGATTTTCCTGTTGGCTATAATACTTTTCCCTTGACTTGGTCTACTTTGGCTGATATAACATAGTATCGTATTTAAAACCTTTCTTCCTCGATAACTGCTACAATGTAGCTACTTCAATTTACTTTGTTATTTTAACCTCACTATTACTGTATTTTATTATTAAATTGCAATAAATACATTCCCAGGTGCAAAAGCGTTTGCTGCTTATATATTCTTGTCTCTTTGATATTTTAATTTGTTATATCTATGTAATAAATAAAAAAACAAAAAATTCAACCAAAAATTCATTTAATTAAAATAATATATAATGAATTTTTGTTGTTGTAGTTCATTACTTTTCGAAAACCTCTTTATAAAAAAATTAAGTTATTTAGATGAATTATGTTTTCTTTGTTTGCGCTTTTTCTCTTATCAAACTTATAGTAAATGCTAAAAGTATGTATAACTCTCGTTATTTCGTTTATATTAATCTGATTTTGATGAAAATATATTAGCAGATGTTGTTGATAAATTGAGAATCGTGCACAACAAGCCAAAAGAACATTCACATATTCAAATATTTTTATTTACTTTAATAATATCACTTATATATTTGAACTAAAAACTATTAATTTTCATTTCATTTCAAGTGCTAAATATTTAACATAATATTTGCATAATTAAAAGAAAATCAACAAAATAAGCCAAGTATTGAATTACCAATTAAAACAAATTTTGCTTGCATTTCTATTTAATATATTATCATATTATCAAGTGCCCGAAAGTATCATTAAAGGCATTTAAAATAATTTTCATATTTGCGAGTATTTCATATTAGTAGCGAAGATAGAAATATTAATTTTAAATATCAACAAAAATTTGTGAATGAAATCACAAGATGGGCTCTTATTATAGTGCATTTAGCACATCGTTACTATGTGAATGATACTTGATTAATAGCCTTACAAAAATTTTGCTAAAATAAAATAAGTAATATTTTTTTCTCTGCATATACTTCTCTATATTATTTACATACATATGTATTTAAATATACATATACATATATTGTATATATAAGTAATACTCATTGCTTGTATAGTAGTTTACAGTAAATGTATATTAAGCATAGAATATCATTGATTAGGATTTACTGAGTAATTTTATTTGAAAATTTAAAAGTCATTTGAAATATTCATTGAATAAGAAAATTAATTTATATGTAGGAACTCTGTAAACCTTGCGAATTAAATTTGAATGAAAACGTATCAATTGAAAATGTATTGAAATGTTCTTCTGATGATGTTTGCATGCAATTACATTTAAATTATAATAAATTAAATTTTCAAATACTAGAAACACACAACAAACACAGCAAATCAATTTAAGTGCCGTTTATGTACTGGAAATGTTGCTAAAGTATTTGCGATAAATTTCACTACACTTTTTTTTAACACAAAAACACAAACGCAGTTCGTAGTTCGCAGCACAGCGTCAAATATTACACATACGCCCCGTCGAACACTTCACAAGCAAATCAAGCTCAAACGTTTTTCAACGTCGAAGGTGTTTGGACGCGGGCTATAAATTAGCAAACGTAGTTGCATTGAAAGAAAAGTTTCGGTTCGTACTTAATATATCAATATTATTATTATATAAAACACATGACTTATTAGAATTTAATACCAAATAAAATTAATTATAAAACAAACATACACTCTATATATATATGATATATAACAAATGACATAAATATTAATTAAAAAAAATATATTTGTTTATAATATACAATATAGATATATATAATAAAATAATAATAACAAAAACCGATATATTTTGTAAAGTAATTATTTTTTAAAAAAATTTGTGTGAAAATTAATAAAATCATTATCTGATCTTTTCGTACTATTATTAATAATTTTTATTATAAAATAAATTAAAGAAAAACCACATTCTACATAAATTTTAATTTTTCCTTAACATATACTTGAATAAAAATAAATAAAATTAATTATAAAGCAAACATACACTATATATATATAATATGTAACATATATATGTGTTTATAATATAATAATAAATATATACAATATAATAATAATTACAAAAACTGTTATATTTTGTAAAGAAATTATTTTTTAAAAAATTGTGTAAAAATTAATAAAATCAATATTGATTTGTAATTCTTAAAGTGATCTTTTCTTACTATTATAAATAATTTTTATTTTAAAATAAATAAAAGAAAAAACATTTTAAATAAATTTTAATTTTTTCTTAATATATGTTTGAATAAAAATAAAAATTAAACCGTTTTATTAATTATTGCCAAAAAATTTGAGTGTCCATTTTACTCCCAACTTATTTTCCAGTGTTATCCTGTTGCTTTGTTATACAGCAATAAAATGCATTCGCCTGTTGGTAATGTAACAGGATTCGTTCTCCTGATGTTAGTGCAAATAGTTTTCCTGGTGCTATTTTGGGTATTCGTGCGTTATGATAAGGAAGCTTTGCCAGTTGGAGCAGGTGAAACTGAAGCTGTAGAGCATGTATCCAAATATCCTCGTAAGTAATATAATTTAATAATTTTTGTTTATTTCAAAAAAATCAACATTTTATTTCAATTAGAAAAAAAATGTATTTAAGGACAATAAAATTATTTTAATTTATGTAGAAGCATATATCATTTATATTAACATTTATTAATTAATTTATTTTATTCATATAAGAATGCTATCAACTTTCTTATATTTAATACAAAAACTAATATTTTAATTCTGATTTTATTATGACTTCAAATTGGGATTAGAAAAAATTCTAAATAAATATTCGGACACGGATATATACAGCTCCAATTTAAGTGAAGATTATATGATTCACACCTTAATAAATGATCAAATGATTCTCTTAATTATTATTATCTTCTTATTTTAATAAACGGGAAATATATTTATAATATATAATATAATATACAAACGCTGTATTCGATCAGGGTTGAGATATAAAAATTTTAATTTAATAATTAAATTCACTTATCGGCATATATTGTACCTCATCGAAATTTTTAAATATATCATAAAATGTTTGAATTTATTGTTCAAAAAATTTTAAATATAAATAATTTCTATTTCTATAAGCGGAGGAATGCACTGTCACAAAAATGTGGCCATTCAAGTAACACAGAGATCTAATAGACAGATCGGGCTTATAAAATCCATGTTTCTTTCATTAAATTGCATGCTGCCGTCATGTGCATCTATTATTTCACTAAGAGTTTTAAGCTTATTATATGATCCTGTCGAGTTTGTGAAATCTTGCTTCACTTAACTTGGGACCAACTATTATCTACGGTTTCCATGTTTCAGTCAACGTTATGTTAGGTATTAAATTTCCCAAGAGTTACAAAACATACCAGTTATATACGAATCAATTTTTTAGAGATGCAGTAAATATTGTTGGTTGAGCTGAGTCAGTGTTCTTATTACCTAATTTAAATTTGAAGTTATCTTTCAAATAGTTATCTATCATTCTGAAGTCCAGAATATGTCGCCACAAAACTAAATTTGTTGTTTGAGAATTTCCTTGATAAATTAGTTTAGACTTCACTACTCCATATGTTTCAGCTATTTGGTATATTACATTGAATAATTTTACTTTTAATACAAGATTAGTTTAATTTTGAAAAAATGTTCCTTACGTTGCTACAGAATTTTTCATAAATAACATTACTCAAATTAAAGAAATCATTTTTTTGATTACTCTTTTATAATTAATCCCTAATACGGTTCATATATGTATCGATGCAAGCGAGGACTTAATACACATAGTAGCTTTAAGTTCAGTACATCAAATTCCATGTTGTACAACATATATATCTAATTTTCGTAATACGGGCAAACAAGAGTACAGAATATTATATAAAGATACTGTATGTGGTCGGTATTACAGAATTACTTGATATATTGTCTGAGTTCATAATATCGGGTACACTCCGCATTAGAAATAGAATAAAACTTTTCTAATATGAGTATCGCAAATAATTGTAATTGAAGAATAGGACAAAATTTTATAATACGTATTAAGTAAATTAATAGAATCTTATTTACGCTTAAATTAAGGTTACTGAATGCATAATGCATAAGCTGTACTATAAATATAAGTGATAGATAATAAATAATATCGATATAGTAATATATTAAGAACTGAAAAGACTATCTTATTACAAATAACCATTCGATATATACAATGTTACGGGTGCCATGAATAAATTTCTAACAGAATATTATATTAACTAATAAAAATTTAGAAATATGTTAAGGTAAACCCTTCAATTCATTTCTTTCTTTAGTTACTATACAGAAGCAATAATTTCAATTGCAGTAATTATTTTTATCCATGTTATCTTGCATGCTAATTCAATGACGTATCAAACTAATGAAAAACGATATAAATGATATAAATAAAATTGAAATAAAAGAATTTACTTAATTTCACGTAAATCAGTGTCAGTTTACACTTTATTACTTTTTGAAATTGCATTAAGCAATTAAAATGCTTGCACAAATGACAGTCAGATACAAATATCTTTCTGCATCAGAATAATTAATATTAAAACATTGTTTAATAATTTTAAATTGTTTTCTAGTTTTTACAAATTATTAAATTTTACATAGACAAATACTATTACTATAATATAAAATGAAAGTTCAATATACAAGCATACTAATATTTTACAAATGAATTAAAAGGCTCCTATTAAAAAAAAAGCTTACAATTGACACCTCAAATAAATAGTAGTTTTTCCTTTTATCCTAATTATTATATACCTTTAATTTTTTAAAAAATATTTGTTTTTATTTTATTGCATTCTACACACGATTTTTTCGTATGACTTCAATTAAAAAATATTAGCTGATAGATGTTAATTTCAAGTGACAGTGACGCCTTAAATCAGTTGATTTATTTATAGTGATCTCATTTATATGAAAGCTTTTTGTAGGGTAAATGATCTTCTTTACCTGCCTTAATGAGCAAAGCTGCCTAAATGAGACCAGTGGAAACATAGTATTATATATAAATAAAATTATCATTAAACCAATTTGGACATTTGAAGTTTAATTATTTTGTAATATTAGTCAATAGTAGTATTAGTACGTAGTTAGAAATATAAGCATCAATTGCAAAAGCACTATGATATATCAAAAATGAAAATATTTATAAAGATATACAGAAACCAATGATTAATTCAAAGAAATCACTGTCACAAAATGAAAAGTTAACAGTTTAATTTTTTTCTATAAACATAATGTGAAATACATAAACTGGCATAAAGAAAAACTAAAATACGAGTATAATTAGTTTCTTTTTCTTATCTCATCAACGCTTTAATTTTTTACCATTGAAAGATTGTGTTTTGTACAATAGTATTAGATACTTTATTTTTTTAATACAATTTGATAATAATTGACATATAAAATATAATTACATATATATCTGTTTTATAAATAAATTCGGTAAACTTTATGTTATAAATTATTTTATTTATATTGGTAATATGTAATATATTCGTATTATTAATCTTAATATATTATAATGGTTAATAGTTAAACCTTTTTTTAACATTTTAGCTTTTTTTGTATCTCATTTAGATATACAGAAAGTAAAAGTTGTAATACAACTAGTCTTTTTAAAATTGTGAACTGTTGTAAGATCTGATACTATTATCAATAATAATAAAACTATTATAAAACTATTATACTATTATCAATAAAAACAATACTAAACCTAATACTACTTAGTACAGTCAATTTATCACGTGGTGCTATAAGTACAATGTGATAAAAAGTATTAGGTATAATTCCAATTTGCTTTAGAACATTATATATAATGTATGTATAATGTATATCTTTTATCTTTTAATGTATATCTTTTATATGAAGTCTCAAAATCCATTTCGATGGAAATCTTCTTTTACATTTTGGGGCTTCTATAACTATTTATAATTTTATAATATTGATATACGTAGTTTAAGCAATTTAATATTGTTTCTCAAAGAAGTGTTATTATAGAACTGAAATGAATAGAAAACGTTTGTTGTGACGTTTCAATAAATCACGTAGGCAACTTGCTTTGTATTAAAATATATTATTCTTGTAGGGAGGGTATCCATAATAATTACATTCTCTTTCAAAATGAAATATATATAGGTTAGAGATTTTTTTTAATTTTTATTTTTTATAAAATGTTTATTTTAAATACTTTACTCTTTATAATTATATTTTCTATTGCTTATCTCTTCAGAGCATTATTTCACTGTAAATTTTACGAATTATGTCATTTAATTTAGATAAAATCTTTTATCTTTTGAGCTTTATCTAATGAATTTTTTTCTGTTTTTATGTAATCTTACTAACAAAAAAAAATGTTTTCATTAGTTATTTAATGAAATATATTTTTTATTTATTTGTTATGCATTATTTCAACTAATTATAATTTTAAGTTATGTGGAATGTTTTTGCGTCAAGAACTTATCTCAAAATATACTTACTTAATGTGAAATATCATATATTAATCATGTTGAAAAATGAAAGATTATATTTTCAATCATAATTACAAGTCTTTTATTAGAAATGATAATGACTAATGCTAAAAAATTTACTACGAAGCTTTGTGGACTGACATATATTTTGATAAAGTCATGCGTATACTAAAAGTTATTAATACATTCACTAAGTTTTGTAAAAATAAATAATTTACAAATGTTTGTTATACAAAAATATATTTTTGCAATACATTCATTTAGTTTTCATTACCCTAAAATATTAAGGAATATTTTTAAATATAAATAATTTTGACGATGGAAAAAAATAGCCCACGCTGTCAGCCTTGTGAATATAAAAATGTTATTGAATATATTAATAATAATAATAATATAATATTATATTATTATAATAGAATTAGTATTGTTCTGTAAATATGTATATGTATATATTTATTTTCTTAAGACCTTTCATGTAAAATATATAGAAAAGTAAAAAATGTATATACTTTTTTAACAAAAACTATTCAAGATTATATAATTTAATGTTCAGTAATTTTTATATGTTATTATATGTAAAAAAATTTTAATTAAAAACTTTCATAAATTTATTCAAAATGATATGCGATTGTTTACATATTCAAATTAAGTATTTTATAAGAATTTTAGTAGGAAGGTTTCGTTCAGTAGTAAACTACAACAACAAATATTTTTTTTATTGTTTTAATTCATTGAATTCTTGGTTGACCATACAGCTGCTTCGACTATTGGTAAATATTCATCATTAGTATTATAATTTATTATAAATAATTATGTTATTATTATTTCTATTTAATTATTCAATCAATTTTTATTACGAACAATATTTATTCAGTTTTTATATTTTTTACCGGGTTAGGACGTTTATTTAACACATCACTTCATGAAAATGTTTTTTTAAATACAATAAAAAATTACACTTTTTAAACAGTGTTAAATATTTAGTTATATATAATTTTTATTAAAAAAAATTAAAAAATTATTTTAA